AATCAGGATGGGTGTGTCAGAGGCAGTGTGATTGGCACAGGATAGAGCAGGGTTTAGGGCTGTTGTACATAGGGTCGCTATGAGTCGCAAATAACTCAACGGCACATAACAACAACAGTACACAGTGAGCTATAAAAAGAGACTAGTGGGCACAGAAACAAACACAAATAGATAGAGATGTCACAAGGAATGTAAGAGTAGAATGTTACAGAATTCTGAGAAAAGAATTTTTACCAGAATAAATAAAGAGAACTTTCTCAAATTAATCCCCTGAATTTGGACTTCTAGCATCTTAAACTAAATTGGTCTTTGTTAAAGCCACACACTTGTAGTATTTTTTTAATTATTATTGCAGTAGCACTAGAAAATTAGGACTTGGAATAACATAGTACTATTTTTCTATGACTGGTTTTAGCATCTATAGACTCAGTGCTCTTTGGAGATCTACATGTGTCTTGGCGTCCATCCTCCCCTGAATCTAGGAGATTCTCAACACAGGGACCCAGGTCCAAAGGATGAGCGTTACTTCAAGCTCTTCTTTCTTGGTGGTAGTCTAGCCCCTCTATCATTGCTTGCTTCTTTAATCTCTTTTATATCTCAAAAAGACTAACAATATAAGATACAACGTAATCTTGTAGATTGTATTCTGCTTCATTACCACAATTGCCTCTAATCCTGCCTTATGAACATTAAAAATGCTAGGATTTACAACACGTGGGATTATTCCATCAGATTACAACAAGAATGATAATTACATAATACTGAGAATTGTGTTCTAATCAAATTGACATGTTTTGGAGGGACACAATTTGTTCTATAACATTTGGTCTATTGGTCCTCAAAAATTCACCCTAAAAGTCTTAAATCAACTCAAAGTCAAAAGTTTTCTGGGGCAAAATTCTTCTTCTTCTGGAAGGATGTGATGTCTAGACTCCAAGTTATCTATAGTTATCAAAATACAATGGTGGAACAGGCACAAAATAGATATTCTATTACAGATGGAATAAACTGGAGGAGAAACAGGTAAATCTAAAAAACTCAGCAAGAAAGATGGACAAGCTCCTCTCATATGATTAACTCTATGAAAACCTACAAGAGGGGCCGCTATGAGTTGATTCCCTTATGTAATTAACATCACTTTTGCTCCACCTATAAGTAGTAAGGAAATGTGAATCTTTGACTAAATAGTTGCAGAAGGCATAAGAGTTTGTGAGAACTGATTGAACAGTTGTAGAAGATGTGAGAAAGTGTGTGTAAATCTGCTAATAAGTAGAAAGATAATAGGAGTGGTACTCTTTTCGAAGGAAAAGAATGTAATTTGATCTTAAAGTAAAAGGTCTATTTTCCCCCAAAAAGAGTAAGTGACCAAAAAGTAAAACAGGGCCTTGGAGAGGGACATCATGCTTGGGAGGGTGGAGGGACAGCACAGGAGGGGAAGACCCTCTACGAGATGGACTGATTCTGTGACTGGGGAAATCGGGATGGGTGTGTCAGAGGCAGTGCGGTTGGCACAGGACAGAGCAGGGTTTAGGGCTGTTGTGCATAGGGTCGCTATGAGTCGCAAACGATTCAACAGCACATAACAACAACAACAACATATGACTAGAAAGTAAGAGTAAGCAAATAAAGTGTAAGAACAAGTGAATAAAGTGTAAGAGAAAGTGTGTAATGAGTAATTTTATTCTGCGTAATGATGGATTGTTCTACACAGTATTTAAAATAGGAAAATCAAGTTTGCTTTTGAAACCTTTATTTTGGTTCAAAATACTCTTAAGAAGAAAAAGAGATGTGTCCCTACTATTATTGTTAAAATCTCTCCCTCCATCCCCCAAACCCAATTCAAGCCATGGTACTTTAATTTTTGAAAAATATTAATTTTTATTTATTTCTGTATAATTTTTAACATAAAAATGTTTTCTTTTCATTTTTTCCATTACTGTGCGTTTTCTTCCCCCTCTTCTTTCCCTCCTCAATACTGTTAAAATCACGTCTTTCTAACATACTTTCAAGTTTATATCTTTCAGACAACAATACAAATAGTCTGCACATGTAATCTCTCATGAGCTCCCAGATTATCTGTGCACCCTTGAATCAGCTTCCATCTAACTGTTGATCACTAACTACAACCCCTTCCAGCAGGAAGTACATAGAGTAGTTGTGGCCCCCACTCCCCTAACAGCAGTCAGAGCCCCATCCCAGAGGAGGCTGCAGGTTCCAGAGCAAGAAGCAGCCTTCCACCACACTGCCTCACCAGCAAAAGCCAAATTATTTACCTTCTTTTCTGTAATTTGCTTTACCTGTACTAAAGCATATTGTATAAGGCAAATAATATATTTTTACACCCTAAAAAACAATCTATAAAAGAAAAACAAGTAGGGGGAGATGTAGCTGCTCAGCTGACCGAGGTAGGAGCTGCCTGGGTTAAAGACAAAACAAACTCCCGGCCCTGGGACAGCATAACTTTGATTCTTACATTGAAGCTGCCATGGTACTTTAGAGAAACTAGTAGTTATGGAAACTGGCAAGGCCAGCAAATAAGAAAAGAGTTTACCGTAAATATTTTACAGTTAAAAAAAAGAGTTTAGCAGTAAATATTTCACTGGTTATTTAATGAAAAACGTATCAATAAAAGCTGTGAGGACTACAGGTCCTGAAGACACTCAACCATGAGTTCTTCTCCCCTTACCTAAGGAAAATCTTGAGTAGTTCTTTCCAATCATGGTACTTTCTCTGGTCAGAGGAGGGTGACAATCTAACTCTTTGAAACCCAGGAGGCTGTGGCCCGATCCTTTGAGTCCCCAGAGGCCATAGGTCTACCCTTCAAAACCCCAAGATTTGTGATTCTATGCTTTCACTGAGGGAGCTCTGCTCACCGTGCTTCTTGTCTCTTCCATTTCTATTTCCTGGTTCCTTGTCCTTTTATCCCCTCAGGCCCCTTCGACCAGTCCAGACTCTGCCCTCCTCCAGCAAGTGTTAGAAAACTCTTTAGCTCTATTAAACAAGGCATTCTAAAGAGCAATGACTTTGAAAAATGCTACATAACTTGGGAAAGACTGGAGAGTATTATGCTGAATGAACCACAGGTAGCCACAGGGTGTGAGGAAGGAGGAATTGGACTCGCTTGAGAGGCCAGAGCAAGGGAGAGTGACTCCACACACTGACCAGCTTTGCTCAGTGTGAGAAGTGACTCCACGAACTTCTGCATTGAGTGATATTGACTCTAGTAACAGCACTGAAGCGACCACTCCACCAGCAAGCTTCCTGATTGAAGGCACTCAACTCTCTTGCCTTTTGCCACTTGCTATTTTGCCACTGGACATCAGTCCTTTGGTCACAGTGCACCTATTTCTCTACCACTGTGCCTTACCATTTATACCATCTCCAATGTTACAATGTTCTTCAACTCCTTCTGAGCCCTCATTAGAATTGCCTTTGAAGGTCAGAATTCCACCAACAATTCTTCAAGGCAATCAAGGTTTTTACTATTGTTGTTGTTAGGTGCCATCGAGTCATAGACAATGAAAGTTAGGCGCCTTAAAATTCTTCTAGTCACTTCTCGTTACCCAATTCTAAAACCACTTCCACATTTTTGGTGTCTATCAAAATCTTGCTCTGTTTTTCTGGTACCAGATCTTGTTTTCGTTACCTAGTGCTGCTATAACAGAAATATCACAAGTAGATGCCTCTACCAAACAGAAATTTATTCTCTCAAAGTGTAGGGGGGCAAGAAATCTGAATTTAGGGACCCCACTTCTAGGGAAAGTTTTACTCTTTTGTAACCCGGTCTCATCTCAGCACAGCTAGTCTGCTGGGGGATATCTTGCTAAATTGATTGTAAATGCAAGAGATCAGATGGGCCATCAGCAGAACCTAGCTTGCACTGTCAACCCTCATGTGATAAATTAAATAATTGGCTCATTGGGGCCAGTTAGTTATGCAGCTGTAGATACAGATATAGAAACAAAGGCCAAATTTCAATATAGGGAAATGAGTCAGTGGTGGAGGGTCCAGAGAAACTAGGAAGAAGTGGATCATAAAGTCCCTTATCCAAGTCTCACCTGTGTGCCCAGTTAGGATATGAATCACTTGGTGATCTTTCATGTCCCACACAGCCACAGTACCATCTTGGGTGCCAACCACCAATTGCAGCTCTTCCAGGCTCCACGCCATAGCAGTGATGCCTGCAGCCAGACAACAGTGAACATATGTGCTTCTCTGTGGGTCCTCAACCCCAGGGTCTTCTAATGAACATCTATTTAATACTTAAGGGAATTGAAGCATAGACAGGCACACAGGTAGGTCATAGCAGAGCCAGGGCTGTCAGATGCCTGTCTGATGTTCAGTTGTGCTGTTTTTACTGCTCTTAGGTAGTGTTAGGGACTCATGCAGAGCTCTCAAAAAGCTGTAAGCTCTAACCCCTGTACCTGTGAATATGATGGTGTGTGGAAATAAAGGGTTTTTTTTGTTAGGTTAATGAGGCCATGCCAGAGAAGAATGGGTCCTAAACCTAGTAACTTTTGAGTGATGTCTTATAAAAAGAGCAGAATAAACACAGAACACACACACAAGGCAGAAACAGAGCAAAGATTCAATGAATACCAATACACAGAGGCAAGGAGAGAAGAATTGAGGGAGAAAAGATGAGCAAACAGATGGTGACTGGATGGATGGATGCATGTAAAGAAAAGTAACAGGATAGACAGGGTTAGGGTTAGGGTTAGGAAAAGGAAGATCTATGACAGATGGATAGAAGGAAAATGGAGGGACAGACGAGTAGTCAACAGAAGAAAAGGAGGGACAGACAGATGGATGTATGGAGAATGAGTGAGTTTGTGGATAGAAAGAAGGATGCAAAATGGGTGATGGATGAGATGATGAATACAAAGATCGGTGGAAGAATGAATGGACTGATAAAAGCATGGAAGGAAAAAAGGGTGGTGGATGAGCGAGTGGAGAGATAGATGGATGAGAAGATAGACAAATGCATGGATGTATAAAAGGAGGATGGATGATGAATGGATGGATGGATGGATGGATGGCAAATGAGTGAGTTGAGTACATGATGGATGAATGGAAGGGTGGGCAGATGGAAGGGAAGATGTATGGATATGAATAGATGTGTGGATAAATGGATAATGGATGGATGCAGGATGGAGGGTGAATGAGAGGATGGATAAATAGATGGAAGGATGAGTAGAAAACAGATGAATAGAAAGAACTAAACTTTCTTCTCTCACTCTGATACTATGGGGGATTTTATTATTCTCTCAATGTCTCAGGGGCTAGTAAGGAATCTCTCTCTGCGTCCAGAGAATACTAGCGTAAGTCTGTTGATTGCAGGAACTAACTATCTGTAAGATGAGAACTTGGTGTCTCTGAGATGCAGTTGGCATCCCCGTGGCCCAGGCTCATTAGTAGTATTTACTCCAGTAATCTGTAGTCTCTGGGGAGTCAGGGAGAGCCGAGTCAGTATGAGACAGCAAGGGCTTGCCCTGACAATACCCTTGGGAGTGTTGACTGGCAGAGGAGACCCCAGAGAGTAACCTGAAACACATGCCCTCAGTGATTCTGAGCAAGTGGGGCCAGGCAGGGTATTGTGATTCTGGGGAGGCTCACCTTTGTGGCAGCCAGTGAGGGTCGCCTGGAGGGGTCCACCGGGAGGTTGGAGGAACCCTGCAAGGGGCACCAGCACTGGATGAGGACACGCCCGGAACCAGCTCTGTGCCTGTTGACACAGCTGCCCCACCAATGCTGGGTGTGAGGTGGCGAAGAAATGGAGTCTGGCCAGGATCTCTGTGTAGAGGACGCTTCTCTCTGGAATAAAGAGGTGCAGGTTAAGGGAGGGACAGAATAGGCCAGGTGGAGCCACCCTGCCAGGGCTACAGAAGACATGAGTGAATGCAGAACCTTAGATATAGCCCCTATGTGTTCTCTTCAGCCTCATTCTCTCACATTCATACCCATGAGTGCCGGGCTACTTGTAAGAGGATTAGAGTGGGATGAAACAATCTTACTCAGGTCACAGCTCTGCTGTTACGTAAGGGAAGGGATGTATGGGGTGTGGCCTGTATCACCTTTGTCTTAGAAGAAATAAAAGGAGAGAGAGCAAGCAGGGAAAGAAGAAACTGACTACCACGAAGAAAGAAGGGCTGGGAGCAAAGTGCGTCATTTGGACCAGGGTTCCTGCACTAAGAACCTCCTATACTCAAGGGAGGATGCCAAGACACACAAAGATCTCCAAAGGATACTGAGTCCACAGATGTTGGAAGAAGGCAAGGACGTTCCTCCAGAGCCAACACTGAGAGAAAATTGTCCCCGAGAGCTGGTGGCCTGAATTTGGACAGCATAAGCTGGACTATATGAAGAAGAATGTGGCATCAGGATTGGAAGATGACTCATCAATGACCTGTGTTATGCAGATGATCTAGTTTGCAGAAAATGAAGAAGTCTTGAAGCCCTTACTGAAGAAAGCCAAAGTTAATAGCCTTCAAAATGGATTGTATATCAACAAAAAGAAAGCAAAAATCCTCACCACGGGACCAACAGGCAATAATGTGATAGATGAAGAAAAGATTGAAGTTGTCAGTGACTTCATTTTTGGATCCACAATCAACATCCTTGGTAGCAGCAGTCACGAAATCAAGAGATGTGTTGCATTGGGGAAATCTGCTCTCAAGAGCCTCTAAAGAGCAAGGATGTCAGTTTAAAGACTAAGATGGTCCTGATCCAAGCCATGGTATTTTCAATTGCTTCTATGCATCTGATGGGAGCTCTGGTAGTCTAAAGGCAAGAAGCTGTGCTGCAAACCTGAAGGTACATGTTTCAAAGTCACCAGCTGCTCTGCAGGAGAAGGATGGGCGATCTCCTCCTGTGAAATTAACTGCCTCTGAAAACCCACTGGAGGGTCAGCTATGAGTTTGTTCTGACTCGATGGTACACAACAACAACAACAATGCATCTGAGAGTTGAGCAACGAATATGGAACACCAAAAAGAATCTATGCCTTTGAGCTGTAATGTTGGAGAATATCAAAAGGACAAACAAGCCTGATTTGGAGGAAATACAACCAGGGTGCTCCTTCGAGTCAACGATGGTCTCATTTACATTTGGGCATGTGGTCGGGAAGAGCTGGCCTTTGGAAAAAGACTGGGGAAGGTAGAAGGTCAGAGAAAGAGAAGACTCTTAACAAGATGAGTTGACACAGTGACTGTAACAATGGGCATATCAGAGACTGTAAGGATGGCACAGGATAGGGCAGGGTTCAGATCTGTTGCTTTTAGGGTCACTGAGTCGTGGTCTGCTCAATGGCACCTAAAAATCATGAACAAATCTCCCAAAGAGTGAGAGAATAAAGTTCTGTCTGGTAAAGCTACACACTTGTGGTTAGGTATGTTGTGGTCTATATCAGCATGTGATCACTAAGACAGATGGTTTCCTTAGCACTTGTCAGTGACAGAAGATAAAAATTTCCTTTGGTTGCTATAACAAAACAACGTTGATGGCTGGAAACAAGAAAATGTTATATTTTTAATAGTTCTTGAATCCAGAAATCTGAAATAAAGATGTTGGCAGGGCCATACTCCCTCCAAACACTCTCAGGAAGAATCTATTTCTTTCTCTTTCCAATTCTGGTGGCTCCATACATTCTGAGCTATGCCCGCGTCATTCCAATCTCTGCCTCCGCTGTCACATGGCCTTCTTCTCCGAGTGTCTCTGCAGCATCTCTTCTGTCTCAAGGCTCCCTCTGTCTGTCTTATTAGGATCTATACGATTGCATTTAAGGCCACTGTGGATAATCCAGGATACACGCAAGATTCTGAGTTTAATCACACTTTTTTCAAAATCGGTTCATATTCTCGAGCTTCTGTGATTGTTAATTGTCTTCTAATTGGTTCTGAATTACAGTGGCCTTAATGTGAAACAGCAGTGTAAAGATTAATGTGAACCTAATTGAAGCTCCGGTCTTTTCAATTACTTGCTATGTATCTGAAAGCTGGAAAACAAATAAAGATGACAGAAGAAGGCTCTATGCCTTTGAGTTGTGAGGTTGGAGAAGAGTACTGAATATCCTACGGATTGCCAAAATAACAAGTAAACATGTCTTGGAGAGAGTGCAACCAGGGTGCTCCTTCAAAGCAAGGGTGGTGAAATTTCATCTCACATACTTAGGGTATGCTGTCAGAAGGGGCCAGTCCTTGGGAAAGGACATCATGCTTAAAAAGGTGGAAGGTCAGCAAAAGAAAGGAAGCCTATCAATGAGGTGGATTGACACAACGACTCTAACAATGAGTTCAAGTCCAGCAGAGATGGTGACGGTGGCACAGAATAAGGCAGAGATCAGATCCATTGCTCATAGACTATATGCTATGAGTCATGTAGTCACTTGATGCCATTTAACAACAAGAAGAAGAAGAACTAGAATGAAATGTTGACCATAATGTCATCCCCATAATTAGGGGCATGTTCATGTCCATTGAGGTGGTTCTTGGGCCAATCCATTTCACTTAGGGTCACCCTCACCCTTGCCAGCCTTCAATTTTTCTAAATATCATGCCCTCCTCCAGTCATTGGTCCCTTCTGATTATATAGTCAAAGCAAACATGTACAAAAATGTTCACTTGTGGTCCATACAGTTTCTACTGGGTATCTTTGAAATTTAGTTGATAGGCCTTTCTTCCCAGTCTGTCTTAGCCTGGGAGCTGAAACTTGTCCAACATGAGTGATTGGAATTACCTTAGTTATTCGGAGCTGCTGTAACAGAAATACCACACATGTGTGGTTTTCATGATCAGACACTTCTTTTTTTCACAGCTAGGAAGCTAGAAGTCCAAGTTCAGGGTGCCAGCTCCAGGCAGAGGCTTCCTCTCTCTGCCACCTCTGGAGGAAGGCCATTGCCCCCCTTCTGATCTTCTGCTCCTGGGATATTTTCTTGTGCCTTGAAATCTCTCTTCCTCCGTTTCTGCTTACTCACTTGCTTTGTTAATCTCACATCTCAAAGGAAATCCATTTAAGACACTTCCAGATACTACTATTGTCTCATTAACACAGCAAAGACAATCCTCCCAAAGTGGGATTATAGTTACAGTCATAGGAGTTAATTTGTGGGGGACACAGTTTAAACGATGACATGGTGACAGAGCTTCCAGCATCAAAGCAGTACTCAATCCACCACAGAATAAAAAATTGATTGTTATTGTTGTTGTTGTTAGATGCTGTCACGTCAACTACAGCTCACAGTGACCCTGTGAAAAGCAGATTTAAACCTTGCTTTGTCCTGTGCCAGCCTCCTGATCTCTACCTTGCTTAAGCCCACTGTTACAGTCATTCAATCCCTCTTGTTGAGGATCTGCTTCTCTTTCTCTGAACCTCTACCTTTCCCATCGTGACGTCTCTTTCCAAGGTCTGGCTACTGCCAACAGTGTGCACATAGTATGTGAGACAAAGTTTCACCATCCTAACCTCTAAAGAGGTCGTGGTACTAGGGATATTATAGCTAATGTCACATGGGTCTTGGCAGAAAGTAGAGAATACCAGAGGAATGTCTATCTGTGCTTCATTGACTATGCAAAGGCTTTTGACTGTGTGGCTCACAACAAGCTGTGGCTGACTCCGAGAAGAATGGGAATCCCAGAACATTTCACTAATGCAAAAGCTATACTTGGACCAAGAGGCAGTCGTCAGAACAGAGCAAGGAGACACTGCTTGGTTCAAAATCAAGAAGGGGGTCCGTCAGGGATGTATTCTGTCTCCGTACCTTTTCAATCTGTATGCAGAACAGATCATCCAAGACGCTGGGCTGTACGAGGAGGAATGTGGCATCAGGATTGGTGGAAGAGTCACCAACAACCTGCATTATGCAGATGACACAACTCTGCTTGCTGAAAATGAGGAGGACCTCAAGCGCTTGCTGCAGAAGGTCAGGGACTGCAGTCTTCAATATGGACTGAAGCTCAACATTAAGAAAACAAAGATTCTCACCACTGGGCCAATTGGCAGCATCAGTATGGATGGTGAGGAGATTGAGATAGTTAACAGTTTTAGTTTGCTTGGCTCCACAATCAACACTCTTGGTAACAGCAGCAAGGAAATCAAGAGACGAATTGCATTGGGAAAGTCAGCTGTGAGGGACCTCTCAAGAGTAGTGAAGAGCAACGATGTCAGGCTGGAGACTAAGGTGCGCCTGATCCAGGCTATAGTCTTCGCAATTATGTGCTATGCATCAGAGAGTTGGACAGTGAATAGGGTTGATAGAAAGAGAATTGATGCCTTTCAGCTGTGGTGCTGGAGAAGAGTGTTGAATATACCATGGACTGCTAGGAGAACAAACAGGTTTGTCCTGGAGAAGGTGAAGCCAGAATGCTCCTTGGAGTCAAGGATTCTGAAGCTTCGTCTGACATACTTTGGGCATGTTGCAAGGAGGGACTGGTCCTTGGAGAGGGACATCATGTTTGGCAGAGTGGAGGGGCGGCGAAGGAGAGGAAGACCTTCGATGAGATGGATTGATTCTGTGACTGGAGTTTTTGAAATGGCTAGGTTGGCACAGGATAGAACAGCATTTAGAGCTCTTGTACATAGGGTCGTTATGAGTCGCAAACGACTCGATGGCACGTAACAACAACAACAACCTCTAAAGAGCACTTTGGTTGTATTTCCTCCTGATAGATTTGTTTGTTCTTTTGGCAGTACATGGGATAGTCAATACATTTCACCATCACCACGATTGTTCTTCAATCTTCCTTATTTACTGTCCTTGTTCATTGAGCATTGTTGTTGTTGTTTGGTGCCGTCGAGTCGTAGACGACTCATAGCGACCC